TACTCCAGTTTTTTAGGTGGCTGAGGTTGAGTGAAATGTATCACAGGGGAAGTAAGTCCTTATAGAAGCTGTCTAGGATATTTTTACATTCAGTGGTGGAAAAGCAGAGTAAGACTTTTGTGATAACAACATACAGAAAGAACCTGGAAGATGTATTACTTTAGACACTAATATTGAGAATTCTTATAAAATAATTGTAAAGTAATTGTATTAATACTTTGCAGTCATAAGTAATAGAAGTAAATTCTCATATGCGACCAATGAAATGAGGTCCATCAGATACCACTGAAAGGTGGGCATATTGAATTTAATTGTTGAAAGTTTAGAAGGAGACGTTTAAGGATATCTTACTTTATCACCCCTCATATCTCTTGGACACCTTATCTTGGTTTGCCAAAGTGTTTGTACATTTGCAATAAATAATAAATTAGAAACTAGATTTTTGTCCTATGAAAATATTTTATAATAATATTGGGACTGTTTTTGGCATTCTGTATAAATGAAAGGGTGAATTTCAGAAACAATACTAGTGTAGCTGGTCAGAGTCTAACAGAATGGCATGTTAAGTAATTAAACAGTTGAGTACTCTATTGTCATTTAGATACATAGTCAACATTTTATGTTACCTATTGTATTGTACAGGTGCTGTTTATATTTGATTTTTTTTTTTTTTTCTGGAATGAATGTTGTTGTCATTTCATAGTTATTTTAGCTGCTAGACTATCCTTGTCCTGTTTAATTGCCTACTGGATTAGTGCCCAGCATAATAGCAGATTTTTATTTTTTTGAGTACTATTTCTAGAGTGGATGATCTTTATTTTTGGCAATGCAGTTTAACCATTTTCTATTTTTCTTTCTTCAGGGTCATCCAATTTTTGTTTATCTCTCAGGCGTCCCCACTTATAATAATGCAGGACATTTTTGACATTTTAAAATCCAATTTAGTGAATCAGTACATAAAAAATTCCTTTTCCAGCTCCCAAGCTACTAAAATTTGTTGAAGATGTCCTTTTTAAAGTCTTTTCAAAGGAATTTCTAATGACAGAGACTGATTTACTTACAGCAGTGTCAGAAGCAATGCTTTGTGTATATATATATATATACACAATATATATATATTCCTATGGGTAAGTCTGCACCCTTTTAAGCTTTAATGTAATAGCTTTTGTAGTATCCATTAGGTCAGATATATATATGCAGACTTCATTGTCTCTCTACAAACCAAACATATTTGAATGCCCATATGTGGAGTATTAATTAAATTGTGAACTTTAATATTATGAAAGTATTATCTAAATAATAATTAAAATGTATGGGGAATTAAGATCCTTTGATATCCTGTTCCAGTTTCTGCTATTTGAGGGTTTTTTGAAGCATTTATGTTTTCTAATTATATTTATTAATTTTTGCTCTTAGTGCTATATATCTAACTGCTTTTTTTGGCAAACATCTTGTTGAGTCCTATACATATTTCTGACTGATGTTATTATCTGTTTGCTGCAGGTAAGGTGTTTAATACTGATGTAAGCAATCTCTCTGTATGCATGTTTTATCCTTCTCTACATATCAGAGTTGAATGTTACTGTTCCTTGAACTCCATGAGTTCAGTATGAGACAGAAGGTTGATAGAAGGTCATGCATGAAGAATTTGTCTTTTCCCAAACAAATACAAAAGTAAACAAATTATTATTTTCACATCTGTCTTCTTCTTTTTATAAACATTAATTCTCTCAATTTTTCTTTCTAAGACATAGGTTTACCAGTTTTCTGGTAGAAAAATGTTGTAGACTTTACTAATAGCTATTGGTTTTCTCATATAAATTCTATACTATTTTTTCATAATCTAGATCAAGGTGAAATACCTTCTTTTCCAGAGTGCAAAATCGCATAAACTCCTCAACTTCTTCTCCTTAGAGAGCATATATTAGATCTGACTTTCAAGCATAAAATGCTCACTGTCATTTCAAACAAGTGTTACCCTCCTCTGACAGGGTGACCCCTTATTTTTAAGAATGATTGTTAAAATAACCAGATTTCCAATGCAGATTTTGAAAGCAAAGCTAGGTGTGTGATGACAATACCTGTGAGGAAAAATGAGGTAGGAAAGTTATGTGAATTGAAGAGTAAGACTACCTTCAGTAATGTGCAGAATTTCTTCTCAGTGTTATGATAATAAAAAACCTGCATCGGGATGTATGAAGTCAAAACCAAACTGAAACATTTTATTTTGGCTTAATTGATTAAAAAAAAAAAAAACTTCCACTCACAGCAAAGAGTCTGAAGCTACAATATGCTATTTAAGTGAATTTTTTTTAACTTTAGATATCTGAATGCTAATTATTATTATATATGCATAGCATTAATTTCCTTTGCTTTTATATAATAAAACAAAATCCACAACATTCTGAATCTTTATGAGACTGAAACAGAAAGTCAGTCTTTTGTCTGACATTTCACCAGTTCTTAAACTCTTTTTACCAGGTCACAGAAAAAGACACCTGTAGGAATATCTCTTCAAACATTCATATAGAAAAGCAGTGTGTGTGAACACACTTCCTTTCACCATAAGGAATTCACAAGAGAATAAGTCTTTCTTATATTCCCTTGGGCAGGTCATGAACAGCTGAATATTTATTTATCATCTGTCACCATACCTGCGCTCTTCAGTTCAGCCAATAACACAGTGAATTCTAGCTACTGATCAAATTTTGAAGGATTAAGATAATGGAAGATTCTACTGGGAAAACCGTGCCACAATTTAATATATTTCATCATCAAAAACTCCAGCTTGTACCTTATCCTTTATTAAATTCATGTTACTCATGATTGTAACCTCTTGTATGATAAATTTTTTCTTAGAATGTTTGCTTCCTGCAAATGACAAGACAATTCTAAAAAACCTTTTTCTACCCATTGTTCAGCAAACTTAAAGGAAGTGTGGAGTTAAAGTGTGAACCAAGTTCAGTGGTTCTTTTCTCACATGTGGAAATTAATTGACAAGGCTGGCTTAGATTGAATACCAGGAACCTAATAAGGTGTGGTCTAGTAACAACTAGGAATAAATTCTTGTTTCAGAGCAAAACATGCCCTTTGGCTGTTATGTAAACATGATCTAAGGCTTTTTCATCTAAACATCATTTAAGATCCATTGCAGGCCATTATTCTTGTTCACACAGAAATTACTCACAATGGCCTACACGGGGTTAAAAAAAACTATGTTAGTGGTATGCACTACTTACAAAAATTATTTGTTGTTAAAATGGCTCACAGTAAAGACAGAAAATTATAAGCACAATGGTTTAGTGTTGAAGGTTATTTTCCCACATAAATGGACAAAATCTCTGGATTGAGAAAGGATCAGACACTGTTATCCTTTTTGTACTAAATACAACCTGAAAGCACAAAGAATTCTCTTAAAGCCACTGGGACCATCTGTGGAATAAGGATTTGTTTAGGGTATAACCCACATAAATCTATAGACCTAATCCTAAACATGTAGTTTTCACTATTGTCAACAACTAGTGGTGTATAGTCGTTCTCTCTCTAGTCCTCTCCATTAAGCAAATTATTAATATGTAAAATATTTTCTCAAATAAAAGTAATTTTGCCACATCTGTTTGAAAGCCATTGGCATAAAAGGTTACAGTCATTAACACAATGTTTTTACTTTTAAAGATTATTTTCAGCTTGTCATTCACACTGACATCCTACCATGAGGCTAAAAAGAATCTTTTTTTTTCTTATGAAACAGGTTCTTCTTCATCAGCACCTGGTCAGATGGACACTCTGGCCCCCTACCCCCCTACCCATAATTTTCCACCTATGAACATAATTAATAATATTTCTGTTCTTTCCAGACCTCACACTGGAAATCTCTCCTGATTTTCAAATATCTCCCTGTTTTATTTTTAGGTACCAGGAATTTAAACTGCACAGGCACTTTTCCACTTAGCCTACATACCTTGGTGTTCTTCAGTGAAGAGCAGTTGTAGTAAACATTGCAGAATTTATTTGTTGGGGCTGGTTTATTTATTTGTTTCTTCCTTGCATAAGCTTTCCTGAATCTGTAATTCAGTTTCACTTACCTAAAATCTTACTTAGAAAAAGAAGGGAAAAAAAAGGAAAAAAGAAAGAAATATGCTGCACAATTTGATTTATCATGATGCCAGCTTTTAGGTGATTGAATCAGTTGATTGCAGGATATAATTTCTGTAAAATGAGTATTCAGTGAAAGAGAAGTGAGTAAAATACAAGTGGGTTGTTTTTTCCAGACAGACCATTTTGAAAACATTTTATGACCTCAGTTCCAAAATTGCTGCTGGGTAGTGGTTTCAGTAAAGAAATGTTCTGAGACAGCTATATATTTGTTATGGAATAGTTAGAAAAAAATACTGTGTGAAACTAATTTTGAAATCTTACTTGAGTCTTGCAAAATGATTCAGGATCATTTTTAAAGTGGATAACATTTAAAGCATTTTATTATGTTATTATCTAATGTCATACATAAAGTTTTATAACCATCAGTTTAGCATGTTAAAGATTCTTAATATTGTTATAATAAAACTGACTACTGCAGCTAATTTTATATTCCATAATAAAAAAATAAATCTGTGCTGGTAAATCAGTCATTCTTTAAACTCTTAATAAAAGGAAAAAACGCCTGTATTTGGACAGCATTTTGTCCTAAGTGCAGTAATATATAATGTGGTCAATTGCAGTATTTAAGTTAAATATTGATTCTTTTTCCTATCTTATTTGCTAAATTAAATATTGGTTTACACATATTCCAATAGCTTCATTAAAAACTAAAATGGCAGCAAATACTTGCTGATGTTGTAATGTGCTTTAATTTTTCTGATAGGAAAAGATATTTGTTTTAGTTTTATCATTCTAAGAACAATAAATAGATGATCTTGTAAGCACTTCTGACAATGGTATTAGAATATCTAGGTCTATTTTTTCACAGAATTATATTTATATAATGAAGCATTATACAAATATGCATGTTTAACTTTGGTTAATGTATATATTCAACCACAACAGCATAAGTCTGTCAGCTTTGGAAATTGTTTAAAGCTTATGGATGACAGAATTTTTACAACATCCATTTATGGCTTCTACTCCTCCTTTTATACTAGCAAGATCCAGATTTTCAGTATCCAGAAGAGGATCTAGATATCCAAAGCAGCAAGGTTTGCATTTAAGCACTTAAATTACCACAAGGTTTTCAAACTATAACGTCCATCCCTTCATGTGGTAACACCTCTGGTGTGTTTTTTCCTTTCAAGAGGTTTCCACATCCAAAACTTTCCATATTAAAACCTTTGGGCTCTTATTTCTCCTGTTTAATGCTGGATGACTTCCTTTTTAAAAATCCACAGTTGTGTTTGGTTGCTGAGACTTAGGAAAACAAAAGAACAATTCAAAAAGTGCCTAATCCCCCACAGTTCTTTGTGAAGCATACATGCCTGCAAGCTGCTTAAAGTGAGGTCCCCAGTCCACAAGGTAGTCATAGCTCTGATCCATGTCTGAAGTGTTTGAACCCAATGAGCTGAGGGATCCTGCCAAGGAGCCAGTCCCCTCAAACGCATAGGTCTGAAGTGAGTCATAGGGAGGAACGCTAGGATCTGTATTTGCTTCTTCGAGCTTTTCTGAAATGAATTGCCTGAAGATTGCACTGTCTGGGCCAACCTGCAGAGACTGTCTGTAGAGGCTCTGGATTTCGGAGGCCACCTTCTTCCGAGGTTTGTGCGTTCTCATGACAGTGCGCGTCCTCAGCGCTGAAATATCAAAGGCTTCTGTGTCCTCCTCACCGCCCCCTTCATCATTATAACTGACAATGTTCTCTCTGAATTCTTCCATCTTCTCTGAAAAGGGAGGCTTCTTCTGCTGCTGCTGCCTTATGGCTACAATTGCCAAAAAGAACACTGACAAAATAAAAAGAAAAGAGAAGGGACAAGAGAAAAATTAAGCAGAACTAGAGACTATGAATGTGCTTGGAAAGATGAAAAGAATCGTTTCTTATCCTAGTATCAAGGCTGTGGAAAAGTGAAGATATCTTAACAAATTTATAGAGCTGTAATTTTTATGTGTTTTATGGTTTTGAGATGAGCAACGGGTGTGTTGGAAAATGGCTACAAAGGGACTTATAAAAAAGGTGAATTAAATGGAGCAGTTCTTTTGGTAGATGCAAATTTGAAACTGATGGAAACACAGGTTATGCTTTTTGAAAGTGCTATTTTATCACATAATATATCCATTTCACATACAGAATTTAAATTCTTAAACTTTATCAGTCTCTCTGATAAAAGACCCTTCCGGACCAAATGAAAAATGAAACAATGAGCAAGATATCCTCCTCATCTGGTTGAATTATTCAGTTCCACAGACTATGCAGAATGGTATTAAACTATTTCTGTTGTGCTGGTTTCAAATTTTAAGACTCACTAAGTTCTATGTCATTTTACTGTCAAGGCCTGTGTATCAGATGGTCTTATTTTTCTGTATATGAAAAGTTTCTTAAATTTTCTTTTAAAGCATTAATTTTTAATCCCACATAATTTCATTTTAACTGAACCATCCCTTTTAAATACTCTATGACTTTCAGAGAGATTAATTCTTTCTGTTTTAACTATATCTTGCTGCAGTTCTGCTTAATAAGTAATTTGTGGACTTTAGTTTTTTACTCAGCACATAAAATGATACAACTACCAAGAATTACGGCATTTTGTTTAAGCATACGAAGAATCTGAAATAGTTTTTTTTTTCTACCTATTACAATAAACCATTCTATTTGCTACGGAGATACCAACACAAGGCTTGAAAGCACTGAAAACAATAATTTCTACTATGTATTCACAAAACAGGGGTTTTCCAAATGCTTGGCCTAGTGAACTCTTCTCAAGTTATATTTCCTACTTGAAAATTAGTTTTCAGAGATAAACGGTAAACTTAATAGATATAGAGCATTTCATTATTTAATTTAAAAAATTACAAAAATATATTCAAAGAATTAAGGAATTTAAAATATGTGTGTTTGTAAAGAGTGTAGTAGATTAAGTTTTCTCTTCTTTTCGACTAGTATATTTATCTATACCCCTGTTTTGACTTTTGTGATATGAATAGGCCTGGTAGATGCCATGGGTTTATATTACCTGGAGAGAGAACCTTTCTGCAAGAACCCAAGAATCATTGATTAATAATTCCCCTGATGGCCTGGATAATGCAGTGATACAGTTTTCCCGATCCTTAGTCTCTGAAGTCAATAACACAAAATGAACTTATTCAGATACCATGCAATTACCAATCAAAACTTGAAATGTACACTGACCTGTAAGCTTAAACTGACTAAAATATATGAGGCAGATATGTAAGCTCAGATTTAAATAAGAAAACTCGGGAAGTGCAGGCAAGCCTAGAAAAAACAAATTCATTTGATGTTCCCATATACTCAATTGGAAACCAGGGCATGGATGTAGGAAAAGTAGCGCATCCCTGGGCTTTTCTATGGAGTCAAGAAATGGCTGATGTCAAGAACAGCCAGCCTTGAGTTGTTGGTTTGGTTTTGAGTGCTGTTTGCCAGCTGTGCACAACCCTTTACAGGGGTACTAGAAAAACTCCTGTGCATTTGAACCACTCTCAATCCCAGTTTTCACATCCACACATTTCCAAATGTATTGGAGGTTAAGCTAGTGTCTCCTGAGAGGAAAAAGGAGACGTCCAACATTTGGAGAAAATGCTGTCTAGAGATGTAACCTTAATTGGCAAAGAATCTGCCTGTGTCTGGAACTTTCTGACTTTTTCTTTTATTATTTATAATTGATCTCAGTTCTACATTTGCCATTCCTAAGGCAGAATGAGTAAGGTGCTACTTCTTTTAATATATTCCTACACTAGCAAATTTTCTTGTGTAATGCTGTCTTCAGCTTTACCTGGGATCAATACAGACTTTGGGCTGTGAAATCTTTGTTATTGCAATGCCAGGAAAGTAAAGAGGACCATGACTCAACTACATCCAACTTTTAGCAAATTATGTTAGAATTCAAATTTTACTGAAAACTGGGGAAAGGAAGGGAGAAATTATAGTTAAGAAAACAGGAAAGAAATGAAACATTTGCCTTATTTCAATTTTTCCCAGTGGCCCAGTACTTCCAGTCTTCAAGTCAAGGGTCCATCTTTGTTACTTAACCAACCCCTCCGTAAAAGGAAGCAAAGTCATTTTTCTTACTTGTACTTACCTAGGAATATTAATATGCAAGCCAAAACAGCAACCAAAGCCTCTGTGCTGAGACCCAAGGAATACATGAAAGCTCCGTATCGGCAGTAGAGGGTGTTAACTTCAGTGTCACAGTCGCAGACAGTGACAGTGAGAGTATTTGTGCTCGTCAGCGGTGGGGTTCCATTATCCTGAATTAAGATTGGCAAGTAGAAAAAAAACTGCTCTTGCCTGCTGAAGCCACTTTTTCCAGTGAAAATTCCAGCTGTGTTATCTAGAAGATAAATTACTATGATAATATGCATTTATGTATCTTGTAACAACAACAATAATATTTAGTGCAATCTGACCTATTTAAAAGCAATTGTACTCTGCAAAGCTACATATTAACAAAAGTTAAAAACATAAAAGCAGGCACTGATATTTGCTGCATATTTTGTCAATTGTGAATAAATTGTATTTAATTTTGATATATGTACTCCAGGGGCAATAGTAAAATTTGACTGAGAGCTCTGGTCTTAATGTACAGAGCTAAATAAATTTACATATTTTCAGTTCCTGGCATCTGCTCAGACAAATTAATTGGTTCTTAAAATGGTTCCATGTATCCAGCTGCTACCAAGCCAGAAGTTCACAGATAAAATACAGACAGTTTGTCAATCAAAAAGGTTAAAAAGTGTTTCTAGCAGCACATAGTGAGAACAGGTGGCAAGGGGAAGAAGAAAAAGCAGGAAAAAGTCCACTAAAATGGTCTTTTATTACTTTCCCTGGCATGAAAACTGTAGCTAGCTGGACTTCTACAACCTAAAATAGGAAAAAGTTTTAATGCTCTCACTTTTCTTTGTATTTAAGTATTAGTGCTTAGAAATCTGTTCTGTAAGAAATACAGTAAACAGCTTAAATTCAGGTCCTGCTGTGTATCAATTAGAGTAAGTAACTTAGATTGCTGCAAAACAAAATAGTCCTGTCTACATACATGCATAATGAAAAGAAGAAAAAAGAATCTGGAAATATTTCCATGTCAGAATTTTTTCACATGGCAGAGTGAAAGACTGCATGTGTGTATAAGTAGAAGTAGGGGGAAGAAAAGGTTTCTACCATTATTTGCACAGCATCTCTATACAAACAGTCTATTGAAGTTAACTCCCTCACATATAAGTTGTTCTAGGTTTCTATCATAGTTCAGAAAGTAAATCTGAGATAAAATACTAGAGATCTGCAGTCTCTTTTTCTCTTCCTTAGGGCTATCACAATTCAACCAGCCATTTCTGTTGAATGTAGCAGAAAGGGGCAGGTTGAAATCTGATTGCATCATATTTCAAAAAGTTTTGTTTTCCCAGTTAGTAGCTATCAACTGAATGGGACTGAATGGATTGCTTTGTGTGAGGGTCTGCTTGGGTTTTGGGCAGAAAGAAGAAAGACGGGAAAGGCTCATGACTTGTGCACAATTTGACCTTAATATAAAGACTTATCTCTTCCTGGAAGGGAATGAGAGATGAAGATGGGAATTGAAATTCTTTATGATATATTGACTAACTTTAAAGATAATTGAGAAGTACTTTGCTATATAATGTATTTGGAGTTTCCTAAAACTTATTTCCATTGATTTGCTTCCTTAGCCAGAACATTCAAATAATTAGTGTGGTCAATAAGAACGATGCGTACTTTAGCTTAGTCTGACAATCTGCTGTAATCTCAGCAGACTGACTCTAAATGGTCACCTCCTTGAAATTTCATCAGATATCACACCTGTGTTTTCATCTCAGTCTGGTTTAGCTTAATATTATATATTATAAAATAAGATTCCATTCTTAGTTATCTGTTTTTATGATGTTGGTCATGCTGAATTAATGAAATAACAAACCTATACTTATATCAATCTTCTCTTTCTAGTGATCGTATTTCTCAGGCAAATAATTTTAACAAGAAAGTTGGACTTGATCACCATATTATAAGAAATATCAGTGTATTTTTCATTTCAGCTGTTTTTTCTTACCCTGAAATAAAACTGTTTTTTGCTGTTAATATTATCCACTCGAAAAGGAAAATAAACTCTTTGATATTATTGAATTATTGTATTGAAATGGACCTCAGGGCATGTCTAATTTTTGTAACAAAAATTTCTATTTAAATGGAAAATTTTGAGAAATTAAGAACCTGTTGGAAGCATGCATCTTCCATCAGGTAGGTCTTAAAAAGCTGCAGGACTGACACTACCTTGATTGTCTTTGAGAGTAAAATGTGAGCTGTTTCCATCCTCCTGAGCCAATGAGAAATAAAAATGGTGACCTTCTGCTGAGTCATCTTGATCCACTGCACTGACACTTTGAATTAGCTGGAAAAATAAGAGAACAGAATTGTTTAAGAGTAAAAAAACTTCCTTGTCCTTTAAAACAATAAAAAGGATATAATAGGTATGTTAAAATTAAACTACTGATGTTGAAGATGTGATCTGTGAATCTGCATTGAGTGCATAATATGCAAATATTCCCCAAATACCCAAATAGGCTTATTGAGACTTATATTCTGCAAGTACTCTGTTTTAAGTTTTCATCCATTTGAGACAGGCAGACATTAAAATCTTGAGAAAATGTAAAATTTTTTCCAGATCAAAGGACCAGGAACAAATGACGTCTCCATTAAAAAAAAAAAAAAAATGGATTTTTTTAATCCAAGGTGAACAGCACGTGATTCTACATTTCAAGAAACCTTTCTATGCAAAACCCATTCATTTTGAGTCCACAAACACATTGACATCATTCAACTGGTATATTGTAGCTCCAGTAAGTGACATACTTTGACAAGTTCACTTGCTGAATTGCTGATTCTGGATATTATAACAGATTGATTATGGAAATTTTTGGCTGCTTTTTCTCAAGAAAACAAAATAGCCTTCATTTAGAAATATGTCAAACCAGACAGTTATTGCAAGATAAAAATTAACGGTGCTTAAAATAATGTTTTTTCATCTCTGTAAATAAGCAATCACATAGTTAACTTAATTAGCAGTATTTCTGCTTAAAAAGTTTATATTTCTTATATTTATCAGTGAATATTTAATTATCAGCTATATTAGTGAACATCCTTGCTGATCAGGAGGAAAATAAACTGCTGGAAGTCCACCAATTTTCAGAAAAGAGAGGGTCAAATTTGAACTTCGGCTCTATTTTATCAGTTATCTCATGCTTTGTATGTATTTGTACGCCAGAACTTGAATCCTCAACTTTTCTCAAACCATGCATCACCTGAATGATACGAGCAGTGAAAGTCATTACTGCTGCTTTCCATCTGTGCCTTTGACAACTCTTTTCTGGTCAGATCCTTTTTCAAAGATCTAGAATTTCATCACACATTCTTTTTCTGTTCAAGCAAGCCAAGTTTGATGAAGCCATCACAGCAGAGTGCAAAATGTGGCTAACACACCAAAAGCCTTGTATTGTCAACACTCTTCCCTCTTTATATGTGAAATTTATTTTAAATCTATATTTTTCTCTCTATGGAAATATGAGGACCCTTGAGTTTTTTAGTTTGTGGGATTTTTTTATTGCCATTGAAGAGAAGAATAACTTTTCAGTGATGTCATGGTGTACAAAGGAGAGAGATTCTCGAGGGATATTTTTTCCTTTCATCAGAACTAACAAAATAGCTGAGGTGATGCAAATACAGGTATAAAAATGCAGGTCAAGAAATCAGTGAGGATAAACTGACAGCTAACACTTCCTTGACTACACAGACGTCATTTTTATAAGGAAATGTAATGCCCAAGAATATGCTCAATGTGAACAGAAATAGGATAGGAAGTTATATATACAGTCTAAATTGTGAAGAAGGACACATTTTATAATATTTTGCCATCTACCTCAAAAAAACTAAAAGAGACCATACTGGTTTTTATCGAAAATTTGCTGGTTACATGTCACAGATGAGGATAAATCTTGGTATGAATGTAAGCCTGTCCTTAAAATTCAGGGTCTATTAAGATATGCTAAATATGCAGAATAATATAGTGATCTGCAAAGACATCTTGACCGCATTTAGTGTGTTTTATTTTGTTCTGTTTTGGTTTTAGTTCATTTATTTGGTAGAAAAAACTTACATACATGCATACTAAAAAAAAAAAAAAAGTTATTTTTATTCAAGCAGGTATTACCAATGTCTTTTGCAAACATATTTTTAGGAGTTTATAATGTGTGAAAATCATAAAACTACAGCAGTTGTGAATTAGATATTGTTTTGCTATTTCATTATTGACTTCCATATTTTACATACAGAATGTATTTGGCTCTGTACGTTTTATCTATATCTGATTCAATCAATAAAATTCTAAGGAGAATGTGGCTAACTGAAAAAAGACAAACCCAAACCAGCTTCCCTTGCTTTGATCTGTGTTGTCCTGCACAAACCTAAGATTCTTATGGCTGTTCTAGATATATATATATAGATAAGTATGTATATATATATATATATATATATATATATATATATATATATATATATATATATATATATATATATATATATATATATATATGTATATATATATATATATATATATATATATATATATATATGCCTTCAAGGATTCACCTTAGCAGCAGGGGAAAATTTGGAAAGTAAGGACAGGACAAGTCTTTATTGTTTACTTCTTGCTGTAGCACATCTACTAAGGTTCAACAAAGCCCACATTAGTCTACAAAATATGCAGAGAGCAATAAGTACCTCTGATTTTACTGACTCAGAAGGAAAAATCACCTAGAGTGAAGGAAATCCCTTCTTTTTTTCCGATTTCCTACGTTTTTGTACATCTAACCTAGGAGATTGTAGCCTTTTACCAGGGGAACTGGAATCACATTCTCAAAAACTGCAATTACTGCTTGTATGTTGAGGCTTACACACTTCCTACATTTTAGTGTATAAACAAAGGAAATATAGAGGATGATTTGTTGCTTTTGCAAGGTTATGTCAATGGTTGTGTTGGTGTGGCTGAAATTTCATTGCTTTAAAAATTCTTACTTCAAGTCTCATTAATATAGAAACTTTAAAGATGCAGCAGTTCATTTAAAAATGGGTATTTCTTTAAGACAGAGATTAATTAATTTATTAATTAATAAATTAATTGATTCTTTTGAAAAACTGATTTCAATTTATGATGACTTTCGAGGAGTTAAAGAATGCAGTGAAATATCTCAATGTGCTAGCAGAGAAGAAAGTTTCCATAAGATAAACCACAACAAGCATAGATGGGAAACAGGAAGATGATCATTTCAGGCCTAAATGGAGGTGAAGGTTTGGAATCTGAACACCAGACCAAAATTCCTGTGAGGACTTGTGGTAACTGTAGATGTCAACAACAGAAGAATACCAGGCATGGTAAGTCAGTTGTGAGTGATCTATCATCTGAACAAAAATTCCCACCCTGGCCAACTGAAAAAGGAAGAAATTCCTTATACACATGCCAGCCCAGGTTGTTGGAATAGCATCTTGTAAATAAATTATTATATTTGATTGTATTTATTCATCTTGTAAATAAAAAACAACAATAACTGTGCATTATGGGATAGTTGACTGCCATGTAATCTTGATAAAACTTAATTGGAAAGTTATTTCCTCAACTCCAAATGGTCTTACTGAATTGGAATTAAGGAGAGGTGCAAAAGAAAAGGTCAAAGATTCTTTGTTGCAGTCCTTTTGCTTCTGTTGGCTTTCAGCCAAGCTAAACTTAAGGCATAAATTGTCCATCTGAACACCAATAGTACTCTTAGTGCTAGAGAACTCTGAGTGTAGAATTTTGAGTCCTTGAGCTAGTCTTACCAATCCCATTAGAGAAATGGAGGGAGGTAGAAACATTTGCCACCTCTTTTTCACTTCAGTTACTTTGTTTTGTTTTCCACAAAACATCCTTCAGTAGGAGTTCTGCTGTGGATCATAGGATATAAGAGACCTAATCACCCAATTTTGGGGAGTACAGAGCTGATTTTGTTCAAATTGGCAGAAGTCTTATAATCAGTAAGATTTTTTTCTCAGTGTCATAATATTTACTGATTATCAGAGTTTAGAGCAGATAAAAGATTAAAGTGTTGATTACTATAGTCAGCACTGCATGTTCCAGGTAGACCTTTTACCTCAAGGCTCAGGTTCTCCTGTTGACTGCTTCTGTTTTGAAAAGCAAATTGGCACAGTATTCAATTGGTTTATCTGGGTCTAATGTAAATGTTTCTGTTCAACTAAAAATAAAATTGTGTACCTATCTGCAAAGGATTAACAATTACAAAGCTCATGCCATGACACTGAGGTGCTTTTTTATGTTTGCTCACATATGCTAATAAACTTCTCCCACCTGTGCCATTCTGCTAAGAGATAATGTTGTGGAATCATGGTCCACATAAAACAGAAAAAGGAATTTTCCACGGGTCACTGTTTCAAAACATCACATATTGCACTCAGCGCATCTGCAGGTATAGCTCAGTGTGAGAATCTGTTGTATTATACATTGCTTTCACAGCTTCATCATGTTTTTACATTCTAAAGGATGCATCAATTGTTGAGGGGTTTTTTAACTTTTTATTTTCTTATCATTACTGTTCAGATGCTTTTTGTAAATTTTGAAGAAAAATGCAATATGAAATTAAACAGTATCTTACCTCTCGCGTTCATTTCTCTGCTAGGAAAAATAATTTTGCATTATGATTTGCTAGAAAGGATCTGTTTTAGCAAACTACTAATTTTTAAGATTAATCATATGCTCATAGAATTTGTATAAAGATTTCCTCCCTTTTCTTCTGTCAACATTTTATTATCTACAGAAGTAATAGCAAATGAGTACTTTTCACTTACATTGTAACTGATTATTATTTTATTATGTGCCAAGTACTGAATAAATAAATTTGGGTTTTTTCTTATCTCTGACTCAAAGTTCCTGTATACTCAATCAATTCTCTGAATCTAATAAAAATTGTTAAGCAAGTTATAATATCAAAAACACTTCATATGTGATCCCCAAATTAAAGGAACTCAGAATTACCAGAATAAATATGCATTAGAGACAACAGATTAATTCAGAATATAGGTAGTTCAGTGTCTTTTATCTTCAGCTGAAATCAGCTTCCTCTCTGACAGGAAGAAAGATCAATATTCACATAAGGGCTGAAATTACCATGATAGGTACATTATGGATGGTCAGCTTGCTTACATATAAGGATTTTGATGCAGCCTACATCAAACTTTCAAGGTGCATCTTCCATATGAGTTAATTTATTAATATCTTGGGAATTAAGCTTTTTTGAGATCCATTCCTGATGAGATGTCTTTAGTGTTACCTTTGGTGTGGATTTGGTCATCTTGATGTTTTGACTATTTGTAAAGAATATTTCCTTTGAAGTTCAAAGTCTTATACTTACTGTACACACCCAAAAATGATACATATAAAAAATTAATAGAACATTTTGGTCATAATTTACTGTGTTTACACACAATTATAAAGTCAAAAAGTCTATTCAAAAGGAAATCACAGGCTTGAATGCCTTATTAATGTTCTATTTTATCTTATAGTAACTAAAGCTGTAGTGGGATAGAAGACTATTTAACAGGGCAACTTTCATGTTTGATTTATTTGGAAAACAATTTATAGAATAGTGGCAGTGGAGTGAAAGTGTTTTTCAATGTTTTAAAGAAAACTTCAGTTGTGGTGTAGTATACAGCTGACTTCTGCATTATAGGATAGTACTAAATGATAACATTAAATGGATAGTGAAAATTCCATTCAAAATGTCTAATAAACATGATGAATGGATTCAGTATGATGCCAAAAACACCTATCTATCTTCTTTATATCCATTTTATTGTCAAATTTGGATTATAGTCCTACAGACTGAAATCAAATCCTATTGTTTGAATGACTTTTGGAGGCTAAGCTAAACATAGCTGTAACTCACACAAAAACACCATACAGGGCCTTGAAGGTCAGCACTTAGTAAATAAAAGCAGACCAAGAACTTTCATAGTCTTTCAGAAAATCCAAAACTTGAAAGCAAGCCTTCTCATGTAGACTGAACTTATTATTAACTGTGTCTGAGTCTGGATAATTAGGACGACAATTCGTTTTACTCATGATGTATTTTATATTCCATATCGCAAATCAGCATACTCTTAGGTTATGTAAAAATAACTTAATTGTGACCTCACTCTAAATTACTTTTTTAGTAAACCAGGCTGACCAAGAAATTCTAGATTGAATAAGACAATTCATTTTTCAGTGGTATCTTTCCCTCAGCAGTGCCTTTCCTTCCTTTTCCCCTAAACATTGTAAATTCATGCAAATATATTTTGGAATGTCCCATGAAATGAGACACAACTCAGCTCAGATTAGGGTAAGAAGTGAATTGCAGAAGTGCAGAAAATCTCCAAAAACATCTCTCAGCACAGTGATTCCAGTTAAAAGGATATACAGGTATGATAGTGTAGCTAAACAATCTTTAATCTCAACTTAACATGTAAGCAGATTCCATAGCTCCTTGAAATTGATTGCAGAAGTATGGTTAAGATAAAAAGGTATGTAATATCATGAATAAGTCCTTTAATTGCTTAAACTAATTCTTCTGAAATGTAAATTTTCTTACTCATTGGACAACCAAGCCACCTATAAAATCACGTTTGAATCTTTTGTTTTCCTGCTGAGGAAAAAAAAAGGATATTTTTTCTGTGAATAAAAATGAAAAAAATAAAAAAGTTAACACCAAAGAAGATACATTAGCTAACAATTCTGTTTTAATCTTAAACACTGAATAAAATATCATAACCTCTGACTATTATAATTATGCACTTCAGTAGAATTTTCCTGTTGCTTTTCCTAAGATAACTTGTTTATGAGAAAATTATTTAACATTACTGTCACAGTCTCAACAGGCTAAACTAAAGATGCTTGTGATTCTCAAAAACCTGTAACAATGAAAATAATGAAAAAAATAGTAACATTATGCTTTTATGTAAGGTGAGAAAAGTATCACATTCAACCATCATTCATATATTGCAATGTCAAAGAAGAATTATTCAGTGTACTATACTTAAATAGTTTATTATTATTAACACTGCTATTCTTTACAGAACAGTTTTATCCAGTGATTCTCAAAATACTTTATATATGTAATTGATATTGAAAAGTAGCTATTGATAGGTTAGCACACAGATATTATTTATCAGTAGGCAACTATGAAATACTAAAAACCTTAAGAAATAAATCAACAAATATCCATGTTATAAGCATCCATATTTAATTCATGGTGTCTTGAAGCCAAGGAGCATGAATTGCAGTTGATTTAATGCCTGCACTTTTGTCTGTCAATGAGATACCCAAAGACCAATAGAAATGGCTTACTCCAAACACCTCCTAAACAGAGGTAGCGTTTGCAGGCAGGAAGATTTCCAAATGCCAAATAAACAAAGTAGTTGCTGATAGAGAAACATATAAAGGGATTCAAAAGGCCATAATGAGATCACTTGAACAACAGGAAAAGCTTTATTTAACCAGAGAGTAATTGAGGTCAAAATAAACCAAAATGGCATAAAAAGAGAGACTCTTTGACTCAGAAATCAACATAACAAAATGTTTTAAAAGAACCATCACAGATATCCCAAAGGATATCTTTTTTTTATCCGCTTAATGTTTTAGAGTGGTGGAAAAACATATAGAATTTTCTCTTTATAGCTTTTTTTTTGTTTGTTTGGGTATTTTTCGATGATGTTGTTTATTTCATATATTTTTCTTTAAAAAAGACCCAACCCAACCAACAAAAAAACCCAAAACAAAAAGAAAAAAAAACCAAAAGAATCCCAATTTTCGGATTTTTTGGGTTTTTTTAGCAAGGGGAAAATGGAAAGAGAGCAGAGTAACTGGGAATTGGGGCAGCTGACTGATGATACCCCATTCATGTGGATATCAAGTAGGAAATGGAAAATAACCTCCTGGGAAGGATGTTAAATATAACAATAGATTAAGCTGCCAGCTAAGGAAGGTATTGTGAGAGCTGTCTCTTAAACATTTTCAGACTTGCACTGAACTAATCAGGATTTGAATTCAGTTCACAGTAAAACATTTCTATCTGAAGGACACAATGGATCTGGCTTAAAATGGGTCTTATGTTGTTGCTGAAGTTACTGGCCACAGGTTTTTCATCTGTGACCTTAACATGAAACAAATTTGTGTCTTATATTTTTTCAGAAGTTTCTACCTTTATTATTTTTTTAAAAAATTCAAACAAGACATACAGATTTTGTTTTAAAGGGGAAAAAATATGTATCACTATAGGAAATTTAAATTTCATAATATTCATATGTCAACAGAACTAACTTTGGAAGTAGGAAAAAATGCATTCCGTACTCACAGAACTGAAAGAATCAATGCTAAACATCTCAGACCAAATCTTCATTGTAGTGAGAAAAATTATGACTAACTGCTTCATGCTCACCTGTCCAGAAACTGCATTTTCACAAACAAATGTTTCATAATTTTTAGGGAATTCTGGTGCATTATCATTAACATCAAGGACTTGGACATACACATTTGCTTCTGAAATTTTTTCAGGATTTCCTAATGGTTGAAAAAAGACAGAAATAAAAAAAGTTATAAATTATCTACTAAATATTTTAAAGTAATATAAAGATTAGAAAATTTTACCTATATTCTTCCGGGAAGAAAATAATCACAAAAATATATAGATATATTCTTATACTATTATAAATAATGAAGTACCATTATAATAGTATGTCTTGAGATAAGATATTTCAAGTAAAATTTTGGATTTGTTCATGCTTTTCATTACCCAGTCAGAAACTGATTTAAATGTGAAAGATAAAACCTGATCAGGAAAAATAAAATAATGTTTTGTTGACTAAGAGAAATTTACTGTAATAACCATATCTAAGGTTATGTGGTAGGAAAATGTTGACTCTTCTAAGGATATCTGGTGAAGGACCTTTTCCAATGAAACAGGAGTTAATGCAAGAAAGAGGAAGCCATAGACAAGAACATACTGGATCAAAAACCTAAGAGACAAGTGATAAAGAGAGGGGATGATGAACACCTAACCTGTCAAATATACTAATTGATGTAGGCACCTGAAGTGTGAGAATGTTTTCTCCACCAGATCAGTGGCCTTGACAATTGATAAACCAATGGAGAATAAGCAAAAAACAGACACAAAACCAAGAGACAGACCTGACAAAACAAACACAGAGACTATGATAAGGAACAAACCTAATGATAATTGATGGGTTATCCAGAAAATACAGGACAACAATTCCAGTTAGATCAATTTGGACTTTGTAACTGACAACACTTTAAGTGAGAGGTACTCCAGATCTGGGGAAATGGGGACTCTGTGGAGATGTATGGACCCATGGAAAACATGCAGAGAGGAACAATGAGAGTTTAGTTAGAAAAGGGTATAGAAGGGGCTGGTTGTGTGCCAAACAAGGCCAGCCAGTGCATTTGTCTGGCTGAGCCTTGCACCTGATCACCAGTCTGTTCTATCAACTTACATCTTAATAAATCTTTTCTTAGTCATGTTTCTGCATAATCTCACTCTTTCTCACTGCATATGCATGTGTGCTCCAAAGACTATGTAGCAGCTACTGGTGTGACCTGCATATGTGTAAGTGAAAATTGGTTCCAGATACTGGAGTGGGATGGGGGTCTGTGATGCCAGCTACTCACTCAGGAGCACAGGAAACAATTTTCTCTGTCCTCCTCAGACTTGGTGTGCATGGGGTTTGTGTATGTTTTTACTGACAAACTTTAAATTGGACTCAACAATGGCTAAAGATCCTGGGGTCCAGGACAAGTGCTTGGGAGGACTTGCAAATGTGGGGTGCATGAGGGATTAGTATGTGAGTTGTGTGAGTTTCAAGCAAGCATCAAGTGTGCACTGGCTGGTGAGTTGGGGGCCCGTCAATTAGATAAGAGTACTTGGGATACAGGAAGGGGTGTTGGGCAAACAGAAGTAGATACAGAAGGGATCCGTGAGTGTGTGTGTGCTTGTGAACCTGGAGAGTGTTGTGCATGTGTGTACCTGTCTGCATTAGTGATCTTCTGCCTTCCCAGAAGAGGAGGGGAGTAGGCTGCCTGTGCTTGTAGTCAGTGGCAGTCCTGTATGTAGGTGCTGCTGAAAGTAAATCCTTGTCTGTGTCAATCCAAGTGACTGACTGCTACTGGCTGAGCCTGCAAACAGGTCAGCAGCATTCCTGACCTGGGTCTGCTGGTCAACAGCAGCTGAACCTGAGCCAGCTTGTGCCCAGGTGGACAAGGATTGGCTGAGGGAGCTGAGGTTGTTTAGCCTGGAGAAGAGGAGGCTCAGGGGAGACCTTATCATTCTCTACAAGTGCCCTAACAGAGGTTGATCTGTTTTCCCAAGTAAGAAGCGATAAGTGGCCTAAAATGCACCAGTGGAACTTCAGATTAGATATTAGAAAAATGTTCTTCTTGGAAAAGGTTGTCTAGCATTGGAGTAGGATGCCCTGGGAAGTGGTTGAGTCATCATCCTTGAAGATATCTATAGTGCCAGATACAGATCAAGCAGGAGGCACATGGTTTAATGGTGGATTTAGCAGTGCTACGTTCATGATTGGATTCAATGACCTTATTGGTTCCTCCCAAACCAAATTACTCATTAATTCTTTGATTCTATATTGGATACCCCTTGGAAGTACTTTACCTATCAGCACATTGAATCCTGATGTGAACAGCATAACTTTAAGAAATATCTGCTTCTCCACAATGTAATTTATTATTCTTGTAGGCAAAAAGTTCCTCTGCAATAGCAATGCTCACTTTAACATGGATGTGTTTTTGAGTAATGAAGATGTTTTTCCAGAGATTAAAGTAATCTTAAAATATTCCAGGAATACTAAATATTTGTCAACCAAAATGTCTGTGAATATATCACTCACCTATACCTAAACCAGGAGTATGTTGATAATTACAGTTAAAATATATCTCATGTTCAGTGCTAGTGTCACTGCATCTGATCTGTTCAGAAATTCTTAAGGCATTGATTTAAATTAGACAAATGGATCTTTAAGAAAAAAGCTAAAAGTACTCCTCTCTGCCTCTTTTCAAACTACATCAGTTTGGTTTGTTCTTACATTACTTTTTTTTAATGTATAATACACTAGGTGCTTGGAGCAAACATTTGTTTTCCTGGATCTTATGGAATCTATGGTGATAGCTTTGAGTCTTTTGCTGAAGGAAATGGCAGCAAAAGCAAGTACTAGAGAGATAAATGCATAGCTACTCAGCAGTTTCACATTTCTATTCCTCCTGTGAAGTCATTACAGCTGTGCTAATTTACCAAACCTTGTGATCTGTCAGACTCATTTCAAAAATACTTCTTTGTGGGATGACATTTCTCTTGTTGAATCAAACATCCATAATAATACATAATAATACAATAGGCAACAAAATAGTGCTCAGCTTCTTTTAGATTAACATAAAAAGTAGCATTCATTCCTTTTAGAAATAGTATCAAGATTGTAGGAGTTACTTTAATTCTTTTACTGAAGTCAGAATTGGACGTATATGGCAGAGATTTGACTTTCAAAGACTTTCATTGTCTTTCAAAGGAGAGCTTTGTAATCTTTAATGGAAAGCAGGGAATACCTTTGGCGACTTCAGTCGTATAAAAAGTGGCACAGGAAGGAGCTAGCTAGTTTTGCCTATTCTTACCTTGCTTGTTTGTAAGATTCATGGATGCTATATTAGCTTTAAAATCTACCTTTGCTTGCACAAAACTTTTAGATAGCACATTGTTGGAATCACATCTGTATGCTTTCAATAAAAGGTTGGGGGTTTTTTTGTTGGATTTTTTTGGGGGGAGAAAGTGGGGATTTTGTAGTAGCCTTGTTTCTAATTCTTTAATATATTTGGGTTGTAGTGTCATAGCTGCCTTGATGACATTTTTTTTTCCTTAGTATAGGGTTAAATGACAAGGAATAGCATTTCTCTCATTTCTGTATGTATGGAAGTTTTTAATAATATGAAATTTTTTAATTTTTCCAAAATCACAGCTGTTTTGTTTAGGGAGGGAGCATAATGTTACAAAGTCACTCTTGAAATGAGTGCCTAGTGAATATTAATGACAATTTTGGGGAGGCAGAGTTACTGCATTTTTTGCATTTTGAAGAGCAGGTAGGCAACGTGCATTCAGCTAATGTACCGATATCCTACATTATCTAAATAACTCCCAGTTAGCAGAAAATTCTTTGTCACAATCTCTACAAGAGAGAGCAGGACTTGAAAAACAAGGACACACAGAGAAGAGGATGTCAAGTGCAACAGGATGGATCAGGGTGAAAATTAAGATGACACTTAAATTGCTAGGGACCCATATTAATAACTTGAAAAGAAAAGCAATGACCATCTCTAGACACAAGACAGAATTCAGTATTTGCAGGGGATTAAAGAAAACTTACATTGACATCAGCCAGTAAACATAAACTTGTAGTGATAACAATAATACTAGTACCACTAGTAACAATAAATGTTATCTTCAAAATTTATATTTTTATAGCATGACTATCATTTATGCTAAGGCAAATTTCTTTACTTCCTAAAATAAATGAACATAAATAGTTTTTTAAGAAAGGACTACTCCAAAAAGTTAAAAGTTTATAAACAAAAATATATAGGTCACCAAAGCAGGGTGACATTAATATTAAATTTATGTTATCCATACTGAAATTATCACAGAACTTCAGTCCTGTATCCAGGTCTGGAGACCCCCATGAAAGGACACTTGCAAGACTCAGTGGTAAAATGACTCTTGTCGTGAGTTAATTTTTTTGGGACTGACTGTATTAAGCAAAACTGATCACAGAATCATAGATAATTGAGGTTGGAACAGACTTCCCAGTTAATCAAGTCAAAATGTCAACCTAACTCTGCCATGTTCACCACTAAACCACGACCCCAGGTATCACATCCACAGGTTTTTTGAACACTTCCAGGGAAGGTGACTCATTTACTTCCCTGGGAAACTTATTATTATTCCAATGCTAGACAACCCTTTTACAGAAAAAAATATTTCCTTAGTACATAATTAAACTTCCCCTGGCGCAGCTTGAGACCCTTTCCTCTCATCTTCTTACTTGCTACATGACAGAAGACAGACCCCCATTTCCAAGCAACTTTCTTTCAGGTACTTGTACAGAAAGTTCCTTACCAGCCTCCTTTTCTCCAGTCCAAACAACCCCAGCTCCCTGAGCTGCTCCTCACAGAACTTGTGTTCCAAAGCCTTCACCCTCTCTGTTGTCCTTCCCTGGTTATGCTCCAGCACATTCTGGCCACTCCACCGCTGGCCTGTAGTGCTACGCAGGGTTGGTGACGCAAGTGCAGGACCTGGAACTTGGCCTTGTTGGATTTCATACAATTGCCCTTGGCCCACAATCCAGCCTGCCCACATCTCTCTGCAGCACTGTTATACCCTTCAACAGAACAACCTCCCACAGCCCAGCTTGGTGCCATAGATAAGGTGACTGAGAGTGCACTTGATCCAATCATCCAGATCATTGATAAAACATATTGAACGGAACTGACCCCAGTACTGAGCTTAGGGAAAACCTGTACTGACTGTCTGTCAATTGGATAGTAATGATTTAAGGATTTCTTGCTCTCAGGCAGGATTAGAACGCCATTGTTTGTGCTTCAGCCTTGTACTTGGTGAAAGTTTCTTACAACCAAGTAAAAACTGATGAAAATAAAATTGATTTTTCTTGAGCTTTAAGCATAAAGTGGAATGAGAGTCAAGAATTTGCAAGTTCTCCCTGCCCACATTTAAGTTCCAGCAAATTAGGCCTACCTCTGGATACTTTTAAAATATGTTCCTTCAATGGCAAGCGGATAGGATGATCCACACTACAGGTCGGAAATAAGAGAGTCAAGCCTCTCTCACTAATCTCTGATCCCTGCAAACATTGCAATGGACTCAAAAGCCTTGTATAGTGTATGAATGTCAGGGCATATCAACAGGCTCCTTGGGTGGTTGCTGTTGTAATGTCGTTTCAATACTTGACTAAGGTACAATGAACATCTTATTTGGATGAACTCTAATGGCATTCTGATTGTGCTTCAGTGGAGCCACAATGTCATCCACCAAATGTCTCATGCACACAGTGTATATTATGACTATATTTCAAGGAATAATATACTACTCTTTCCTGATACAAATCCTTTCAGTTATGCCCAGACCAAGATGACCTAACCAGATCTTTTGAACATATCATTATAGACAGTGACCTTATCATCATTAAAGGAATAAAGAATAAGAATTTCAACATAATGAGGTCTCTATAATAGCTTTCATTACCGTGAAAGTCTCACTTTCTTTTGCTGCAGGAGACAGTTATTCATTTGTAACATTTGGTTCTCTTCTGTTTTATTGTTTAACTAAACAAAAAGTCTAGGTCAAAGTTATCCTGCTGTGTTTCCATAGAGCTGTTCAAGACATGCCAGAGATCAAATCTGCTAACACCTGTCATCTGCCCAACAACATGAGAATGAAATTCATGCTTAAAATCTCACAGAGAAACTGAAAAGGAAGATAGTACTATCAATTCCTAAATACAAGTTAAAGACTTCAATGAAAATTGATGCTGACTATCCTATAGTAGACTTCCAGCAGTAATGTTCTACAGGGAAGTCTCCCTTTTGGCAACAGTGAAGTTTAACAATATATGTTTAAAGTTGTCATACCAATAAATGACATTTAACTGAGATTCAGGAGTAAAGAACAGGTGCTAAGAGTATTTGGCAAAATCTGTCTGATTTACTGATTTTACTCTAGTTTCACATGGTTTTCCTCCTTCCTGAGGATAAATGGGATTAGTTTTTAAATAATATCCCAGTAATCTTGTTAAACTGCCTTGTAAAGGAGGAGCTGTTAAATTTCTAGTTCTGTCCCAGATTTAGCACCACCAGATCACCAAAAACACTATCAGGGGTAATTTGCATTTGATTTTCAAAAAAAATTGACATGTGAAATCTATATAAAAGATGCTTCAAGGCTCTAATTGTCCCTGAATAGACATCTAGATGATTTAGGCCTTAACAATTAATTTGAGCCACAGGTTTCTGACTGGTGTTAAATTAGACCCTGGCTAATTTTACACTAGTCAAAAATCTGGTGTGAAATTAACCAGGGTCTAATTTAACATAAGATCTTGCACTGCAGGAGCAATTCTTATGCTTCAGTGTAACTTGAAAGCATTACACTCTCAATCCTATTACAATTTCTTTTTTCATAAGGTCATCTTTTATGAAAAAGCACAGGACCTTGGAGCTCAAATACATTCCACTTCTGTTTAACTAATCATTTTAATAGTGCTCTTTAGTGTACCAAGCAACAGTAATATAATAAGAAAGAAGAATGTATTCTCCACTTAAAAGAAGGCACATACAGAGGATAATTACAGTTCACAATGTAAAAACCCCAGCGTTCCTTACATTTCTTACTCACTTGTTTCTGTGGCTGTAACAGTTATGTTGTGCCAAGAAGCTATCTCTCGGTCCAGAGGTTCAGTGGTAATGATTGCTCCATTGTGTTCATTGATGCTGAACAGTCTCTTTAAATGACTGCTGTGGACAATAGAGTACCTGAACCAAAAAAAGGAAAGACATTCTGTAGTACTGAAAAGTTCCATCAGAGCTAAGGACATAGAAAGCTATTGTCAGCTAAGAAAACAGAGCTGTGCACATATGCATATAAATGTGTGCTGCAACAACCCGGAAATCATGAAAAATGTACATGTATAAACATTTAAAATTCACTGCCGCCAAGATCAAAGCTCTTCTTTTTATAAAACTAAATACGTCTCAGATCTATATTAATATGAACTGAATCCAAAATGCATTATTCATTCTTACTTCTAAGTCACTCTCACAGCAGGTGAATGACTTCATTGAAAAGAAACAGCAAAATTGCCACTTGTGAAATGAATAACACCAACATCTAAGTGGAGGTATAATGGCAAATCCATTTTATCATTGCTGACATGCTCTGATGCCAAGGGAATAGGCATTATAAAGAGAGACAACTATCTGTAATGAAGTGACACTAAGGCAGAGTACAAAATCCTACTGCACAAGATGATTGCAGGAAAGACTCAGCACTCCTGAGTCTTTGCTGAAAAGGCTCCAGATGCTGAGGACATGTACATGTGCACATACATATACACTCAAGCAGTTAAAGTTTAACCATGTGTTGCACGGCAAAGATGAACTGAAATAGCAACCAAAGATATTCAAATCCATATTCAAATATATTCAAATGTAAAATATATTTATTGCTGTTTTTAATGGCCTATGAAGCAGAAGACTGTGGCATTCAAATTTTTTGAAAAATCTCTACAGCCAGGATATTTCTCCTGGGAAGCTGAGAAGCCTCAGAGAAAAAGAAAAACAATTTTTATCTCATTTGCTTCTCCTGTGTTGTGCTCACATGTGGAATGTGTTTGGAGATTGTTTACCAATAGGTAATTGTTTCATTGGATTCTGGTGTGAGTTGTTTTAATGGCCAATCAGTGCCAAGCTGTGTCAGGACTCTGGAGAGAGTCACAAGTTTCCATTATTATCTTTTTAGCATTCAGTAAGTCCCTTTTCTGTATTCTTTAATATAATATAGTATCATAAAATAATAAATTAGCCTTCTGAGAACATGGAGTCAGATTCATCATTCCTTCCTTTATCGAAGCACCCTACAAATACAATAGAAGACCACTACAGTTGCAGAAATAGAGCTTGTTTGAATAGTAATAAAATTCTTTCCACTCCAATCTGGAATGCCCACATGCAACTATTCCTTCTTATTGTACCTTTAATTCTGCTTGACAAAGCCTTTCTGTTTCCTGTTGACACTTAGGGCTCCAGCTCAGACAATGTGTCAGCAGTTAAATGACTCTCTAATTTGTTATCTATAGATGTATTTTTTTTTTTTAACTCAGTAAGAAGATAAATTGAAGAACCAGCACAATACCGTAAGTGAAAGCTCTTATTATCTGAACCAAAGTTTGGATACTTATAAACTTCTATTTAAGGTATTTATAATTTTTCTGACATAGTCATTTGGTTTGGACATATTTTGGTAATCTGATTCTTGATAAACATTTTTCACAAAAACAGTATTAGGTATTTATTCTTTTTATATTTTTTATTACTAACATAGTGAAATTTTGTTGCACATCTTTTTTAACTTGTTTGTTTGAAATGTGGAGTCCACAAAGCAACACAAGTTGTCTTCTATAAGTAACTGTTGTCATTTATGATAGGAATGGTTTCAAAATTAGATTCATTTTCATGGTGCTTATCCCAAAAAACATATTTTTATATTATAAGTGATATACTCTCTTCTAAAATAACTGGTTGATGCAATAGCTGTATCACTGTTTTGGGACTATGTGGACATTTTCAATTTGAAGCCAGCTCCTCCAAAACGTTTCTGACTAAGGAGTTATAGATATATGTTAATGTTTAATTGTTCCACAGGAGATGTTGAAGTCACCTAATCAAACTACCAAATGAGCCCTTTTAGAGGGGGGAACAAAAAAAAAAAATCCATGTACATTTTTTTTTCTTATTTAATTTAACCTGTTACTAGTCTAATAAATAATAGTAAATGAATGGAAAATCATAACAAATCACCACCCACAGCTCTGAAGCCGTAGCATAATATATATGTATTTCCCCTATTAGAAATCGACATAGCATAAATTATTTTGTGTCTCAACCATTTGTCACTGTATCTTGCTTTGTCTAAATTCCATAATACACAGTGATGTCAGGCAATTCAAGAAGATATTTTAATTATAAATCCCATGTTAAAGATTAATTACCTGTTTTTTCCCTTAAGAGACAGCAACATTATTTATCACTGATATTATAAAAAGCAGAATCTCTTGTTGCGGGGTTGAGTGGCTAGGTGTCAGCTTGTGGTAAGCAATTGTTTTGGGTTTTCTTGCATCACTTTTTTTTCTTGGAGATTTGTTGAAGATTCAGGTTTTTCCCGTCTCTTATTTTCTTTGATACTATTATTATTGTTGTTATTATTATTATTTTGATGTATCAATAAAAATAATAATAAACAACTGTCCTTATTTGAACCCATCAGTTCTCACAACTTTATGCTTTTAATTCTCTTTTACATCCCAGTGACTGTGGGCAAGTTCCTGTATAGTCCTTACCTGCCGAAGCGGGTTAAATCATGACATCTGCAATAACCTTGGCTATCACAGTGAAAGCACAATTAACTGTAATTATGAGCTATGGTAAGGAATAGAAATACCCTTTGGAAATACCAAGTGCATTTGCCTTTGAGGCTAGTTCATATTTTAAGAGAGGTACCTGACTGGACTCCCATCATTGTCTGGATCTCTGGCAGTTACGACCCCCACCAGTGCACCCCTCATAGCTCCTTCAACAATCTCCATCACATAGTTCTCCAAGGTGAAAACTGGAGGTTCATCAGCATCTTCCACATTGATTTTGACAATGGTTGTGTCTTCAAATGGTCCTTCTTTCAAAAAACGCTCATCAATGTATCTGTTTACAGCTTTTACTTGAATGCTGTGTCTCCTTTTGCTCTCATAATCCACTCTCTGTGAAGAAAGAAAGAAAGTGAAATTTGGAATATTTCTTTCTTCATATTTAAATTAAATATAGTTCAAAAAATGGTGTGAGATTAAAGACAAAGTAGCGCTATACTTCTTTTCAGATTGTTTAAAAAAATGGTTACTACTAAAAGTTAATTCTAAGGTTTCCTTTTTATGTTAAAAACACTTTCAAATTCAAAAATGCTTGTTTGCTTTCATGTTTCATGCTGGCTTTAATGCTGCAGTCAAACAACACTGTAAAAAAGAATTCCCATACAATGTAACCCCTAATGACACAGTTTCATTTACAATTTTAGTATTTATCTTCTGAATTAAATAAATAAATGACCAAAACCACTACCAAATAAATAGCTTCCCAAACTAAAAAAAAACCAAAAAAAAAAAAAACCAACCAAACAAAAAACCCACAAAACAAACGAACAAAAAGATCAAAACACAAAGACTTCAAACTTTCACACTTAAAGCATTCAGTTCTTCAGGGTCCTAAATTTCACTAGGCTATTGAACTCTATCTTCATTTCAGATGATCCTGGAGATGACTGAGAAATCTTCCTGAGTGTTTCCAAAATAAATTACACAGTATCAAAGGCTATAAATTTTTGATATTCATAAACTGGTCTTTTTTGATTGTACTTAGTATCTTTTTAAAGCTATGCCCCAACAAAAACTCCACTATCTAGTATATTAATTAATTCTTGTTTCAGTTAAGAGGAGGTATTGAAAGTGAGGTGAGATTGCTTGCAATTTATTGATAAATATTTTACAGGCAATGAACAGGAGAACATTTTCTCACAATGGGATGCACTGTGTGGCACAGTTAGGGATAACATTAAGATACTCTGACTGTCGCTATTATATTCAGCAGTAATAGGAAAGAGTCAGAAATGTCAACAGAAAGTAAAGGCTTTTTCTTTTTTATCCCTAGTAATATTCCAATCAAATCACAAAGCCTAAAGAAAAAAGAATAAGAGAATCCAAAGCAGTAGACATTTTTGTACATCCAGCTCGCTTGAGGATTTTCTTTCAAATATTTAGAGATTTTTTTAAAGTTTCTGAGATCTCACCTTTTTTAGTAAGATAATTCCTTCTTGAGTCTCATTGTTAGTAATGATGTTAAAAACATCTGAGCTATCTGCTTCAATGAAATAGTCCATGGCTGCGTTGTCTCCAATGTCTCTGTCTTCTGCAAAGACTTTGCCTACAGTGGTGCCCACGGGAGCCTCTTCAGAGACACTCATGTAGTAGAGCCCTAAAGAAACAAATACTGGCAATGTTTAGTGATCTGCCATGGTTAATAAGTGCTATAGCCTGAGATTCCCAGAGAGCTGGGAAAAGCCCCAGATTCTACCAGAGCAATCAAAGTGATCTGGCATTGTATAGATCTTGGGTGCAGGGCAGGATAATCTTTTCCCTTGGGAGCCCTTTCCTCTCAACCCTATTTCAACAGAGTATAGAGCAAAGGACAAAAAAAAACCCAACAAGGATAAAAAACCCAAAACAACAGCTAATGTTTTTAAACTGAAGGAGGGAAGGTTTAGATTAGATATAAGAAAAATGTTTTTTACTCTGAGGGTGATTAAATACTGACACAGGTTGCCTAGAGACAAGGTGAATGTTCCATCCCTGAAAAAATTCTACATCAGTTTGAATGCAGCTCTGAGCATCCCTTCCCAAGGAAGGCTGGACTAGATGACATTTAAAGGTCCATTCCAACACAAACTATTCTGTGGTTCTATGACTGAGCATGGTGAAAAAACAGCCAAGGACAGCACTTGCCAACAGTGCAGTTTTTTCCTGATAGCCCAATAAGCAGCTCCCACATCTGTTAGAAACTACCTGGACAGAGAGGTTCACATCATTTGTCAAAAAACTCTCTAGCATATGTCAGAAAAAAAATGAAGAGAGGAAAAGAAGAAAGAAGGTGAGTGAAAATGATGCTAAATATCCTGTTTTCGAGATTTTACGTTGAGGTAGCGCAAATTATAGGGAAAGTAGTTTAACGATTTGTCTCCAAGGTCTATTAGTAAGTAAAACCAGAAGACTTCAGATTTTTGAAATGATAGATTTTCTTTTCCTCTTGATTTTTGAGCTTTTGAGGACTTTGTGGTTTTTGTCCACTATTTTATTTTTTTTATAGCTGAATGCTAAAGTCAAAGCACAGCCCTGTTCTAAAAAGACCTACCTGCAAACCTAACAGAGCTACAGTGGAGCTAAACTTCCTCAAGACTTCCATTACTTTAATTAGCCTCTACTCACGCTGTTGGAATTCAGGTGGATTGTCATTGATGTCAGAGAGATTGATGGTAACAGTGGCTGTTGCAGAAAATGCTCCTGGTTGCCCAACCATATCTTTGGCTTGAATGATGACCAAATACTGATCTTTTGTTTCTCTATCCATTTGGGAAGCCATTCTAATGACTCCTAAAAATAAAAAAATAGAACACAATGGCATATAAGTCTCTTTTTTTTTCTCAGCATCTGACAGGGGTATATAGTATAATATGCATGTAACATGTATCGCTGCACCTAGCTATGATTTTCATTACAAACTGTGCATAGCACAACTGTTTTTATACTGGGTGTTAGTCCTCATGTTAGCAAATACACTGTATGTCAAACCCATTCTGTATATTTAGAGTTCTGGAGAGCAGAATACTCCATATATTTCTTCTACCATCTAGAGCCATGTCTCACTCAGAAATTAGGTTTTTGGAGGGATGTTACATATCTGCTGTTTCTCAACATACAGATAGAAATATCACATGATGTGCCACAGAGATGTTGATTGAGAAGCGTTCCTAGATTAATTTATAAAGTGTGATATTCAGAGTCTAGCTCTTTAACAGGATAATTTTCTAATAAGTTTGGATTTGCTAGAGAGAAAGAATTTCATCTTCCTATGGGAAAGAAAAGTTGATTTTTTTCAGATCTAGGATCTATGTAGAGAGGTAAAAGTGTAGAGTTGTGCCAACTGATCTTTGTGTTGAAATCAAGAAAGACAATTTTGCTTGCATTCATTTTAAGAGTTATGAATGCACAAATCCACTTGTAGTACCTGTCTTTGGCTCCACGGAGAAATAAGGCTGTCCCTCAACAAGACTGTAAATCAGACGAGCACTATTCCCATAAGAAGGATCATCAGCATCTGTAGCTGTTACCTGTGTAACCGAAGTACCTCAAGGAAAAATATAATATATTATGTTTGTTTTCTTCTTGTATAAATTGTCTCATAATTACAAAATATAAATTCTTTAAAAACCTTTTAACATACCAGTTATACTAATAAACAGTCCTAAAAATTTACAGGAGTAAATGGCACCTATTAAATTTACCATTAAAAAGGGAAAATATTTCCTCAGTAGCTGTTCTTGTTGCATTCAAAATTTCAATTAAAATAAAAATAAATCATATATGTTTTTTCAGCACTACATTTATATTGTTTAAAATGCTGCATATAACATGCCTATTTTCTAATATGTCAGTGAAGTAAAGCAAATTGTTTCTCCTCCCCTCCTTCAAAGTATTTCACAGAATGCTCCCATAGGAATAAGAAAACACAGTTGCTTTATCATCAGTAAGCCTACTGGTGATAAAAAAATTAATTGTTAATAAGCAAAGCAACCAAGAAGTATAACAAGGCTCAGATAAATTTTTTTATTCTTGAGTCTTTAATGAGCTTGTCCCAGTGCAAAACTTGTAGCAGAAATCCCAATGCAGAAACACAGTGGAATCAAACTACAGAGCTTGGTTTCTTCTTTGATGGGGAGCTGTTCATATCCTAAATAGAAGATTGACAGTAATCTCATGGCACCTTCTCTAATGACTGTCCTTTAAAAAAAATATTCACAGTAAAATCATCTTTTAAGGTAATCATTATTTTTGTCTTTTTTTCTTCACCCAGATTCTGCATTAGAAAACAAATATCACTTCTTGTGAGGAACAGCAGGAAATCAAGCTACTTTCTAAAAATTTCTGGCATACAGTCACACGGTTGCACCTGCTTATCAGTACAGCAGTATAGTTAGTGTGGAGGAAAAAAGAAGAAAAGGTGGAGTGCAAGGAGTTAGACCAGAAACACTATTTTTTAATGATAAAAGCAAATGTGATATTTGTCCCAAATGAAACAAGTATATTCATTGCTGGGTTTCTATCTAAATATTTTCATTTTTAAATAGAAATGAAAAAAGCTTTCTTATATAAGGAGAAGCTAAAATAAATAAATTGAATCTTTAAAAAAAAAATTCTTTTGTATTTTCTCTCAATTTTTTGAGCAGCATTTGAAGTGATTCCATAACGCATGCTATCTTCTCTCAGGCAGAGAGTAAACTAAGCTGTTATTAATTCCCACCAAATTTTGGGTGTATATGTCCTTCATAACTTACATGCAATATCAAATATCTGACATGTGGGTTTAGATGCATAAATATAGATGATTTAGATGTGTGTATAGATGTATCAATATATATACAGATCCTATTGCTTTGGAGAAATTTTAAAGATAAAATTACAGATTCATATATCAGGGCACATATATGCCTCAGAAAACACAGAATTCTTTAATAAGTCTGAAGAGCAAATTGAATCCTCAGCTACATAACTGTTAACTTTGTATCAGCTGTGATCTATGAAAATTGTTCTCACAGTCACAGAAAATTCATCCTCTAAGAAAATTTAGCATTACTAGAACACAGTTGCTTTGGAAAAAAAATTTGCTAGTTAGGAAAGGATCAGGCACTATGGATGATCCAACAGGTTTAGTATGTTATTAATGCCATTTTCTACTAAAAAAACTCAAGTTTCCGCAAGTATAGAAATTAGAAAATCAGGATATTTATTAGTTTAACAGGATATTTATTAGTAAATCAGGAACATTTAGTAAATCAGGAATAAAATACAACATATATAGGACTTCAAAGTCATCATCACAGCTTTTGTACATCTCACATTTAAAGGTAAATCTATTTTCTGCACAGTTTCTAAGCAGTATAAAGAAATATTGACTCTAAACCAGCATTTCCTTCTTCTCTGGGACCCAAACACATTTTTCTTCTTGTCTGTTAACTCTTCTAGAGTATTTCAGAGCACAGTAGTAAGGACTTTGTTCAGCTGGAACCACTGAGATGCAGTTGGTGTATGTAATCAATGGAAACGTGAATAGTCAAAAGGAATCTAGCAAAGAGGGAGCTGACCTGGAAGGAAGAAAAAACAGATATCCTGCACTCCAAGGAGGAAGACAATTAATTCCTAAATTTGGGTCACAGGAGACCATGTAATGAGCAGACTATCTTTTCTCTCAATTTTTTAGAACAAAGATTGCCTGACAACTACATGAACATCTACATCAAGTATGGACTATGTAGCAAGAAGAAAAATGTTACCCTGACTTTAGAGTACTTTCTCAATTTTTAGTTTTTCACTTTCACGAAACCTGTATTTCTTTATACATTTAACCATGACAAAAAAAAGCAATCCACTAAAATGAACTAAACTAAAACTGAAACAAAACCCCTACAAAAAATAAACCAAACTAAACCAAATCAAAAACAAATCAAAAAACAGAACGCACAAAAACCCCCAAAATCCAACTCAAACCATTTGCAGAATGAAATTATATTTACCCAGCATTTATATTTGGGTGACAGAAATTGAAATGTTAATATTCTATATTCAAAAACTCCCAAGAGCCATTATTTGTAACTATATTATTGTGAGAAGAATAACTGAACAGATACAAAATCATATATTTTAAAACAATCAATTATCTCCCCAAAATTAAGAAACTTCAAAGCCCTAGTCCTGACATTGCAAATATCACAATATAACTGGCAATTGAACTTTTTGATTAGCTTTATTTAAGGCAAACTGCTACTTTGTATCTCTGCAGCCTTGGTTTTACCCTTCTTGGGCGAAATATGGTAGAGTGCCACTTATATGCTGCAGCCCATTAGGTAAACTATGGGACCCTCATATGGCAAATAGCTGTTCATTTTTCTAACTAGAGCTTGAGATCTATAAAGACATTAAGTACTGATAGATTATTGCATCTGACTCTTAACCACTCCATCAGATATACTGCATTTGTACAAGTTGAACAGTTATAAGGAAGACAGCGTAAAATTGTACCAAATGCCTGAGGGTAAAGCAGAGTCCTGTGTTCTCAGAAGAGAGTCCATTTGCTGACACGCTTTTCATTTACTGTGACACTTGCATATAAAACCCTAATAAAATTTAGTACTGAAGATAAAAGAGAGCTAATAAAGAATTAAAATGTATTCTAATTTGTTGGCACATTTGTATATATATATTGGTACTTGTAACTAACTTCAGGCACAGATATTTGTGTCTATTTTCTGGTTTTGTTGTGGTTGTCTGAAGCAAGTGACCAGCTCTGGATTATTATCTACTCGCTTTCTTAGTTCCAGACAAATTGTGCAGCAGTAGTGGCCTGCTTTCCCAAGTTTTGACCATGCTTCCTAAGAATGTTTTCTGTGAGGAAATTATCAGGAGACTGAGCATCAGTGAGCTGAACCGAAGATAGAGAGCACCGAAACAGGGCAAAGAGCAAGCCTCTCTATTGCACTGCACCATTTAAATTAACTCTGTCCTTCACCCCTTATTATGCAAGAGTATGTTTTGGTTTACTGGGAGAAAGACAGTAATATAATCAACCGCTATGCTATCGATACTGTAAACTTCAGTGGGTTGCTCTACCTCTCTGCTAGAAGTTTAAAAATTTCCTTGTAAGATTGGTTTAGAATGTACACTGAAACAGGTTCAACCTCAGTAGTGCAATCCCAACCTTTTGAGAAGCAGGGTAAGTAAGGCCACAGAAGTGCTCATGGTGTGTGGCTCTGTTGTTTCATGTTTTGGAGCTGACCACTATCAAGGTACACACTCCACTTGCATTTTATATTCCAGACATGTGCATTAGTATTCCAGCAGTGTCTCCATGAAAGAAGTCAATGAAAGAATGATCTCTGGAATGGCTATGGTATTAGTGCTAGAGAGGTCAAGTGCAGAGGCAGTAATGCAGAAAATATTTCAAGATCCTGGATGACCTGGATTCATCTATCATACAGTAGATGACCATAAATCAGGGAGTTTACTATTTCAGGAAATCCATGTCTGAGGGAGAAGGCAAATAGGGATCTTACTTCATTTTTTACCCATTCTGACAAATGGGACCTGGCTTTACTTCTGATTTTTAATTCATTTTTCCATTTCATATGTTTCTATATTTCACTGGAATATTTTTTTATTTATAATATTACAGGAATATCACAAAGTAAATTACATTTTCTGCAGCTTAATTAATCTTATGCTGAGGTGATACCATGTTTTAGGAATCTAAATATATAATAGACGACACAGGAGTGTGGACAAAGACAGCTGAGCCTTCTACTTTTAGTGTATCTCTTTATATCAAACTTAAGGCAGTATACAGTGAAACTTCTCAATGGCCAACTGCTTGTAAATGGTTTCTGGTAAGAAACAGAAGTATATGGGAAAAGATTACTACTGTTGTTTTTGGTCTTAAGTACCACCCTACTTGACTATTTTTCTTTTTTTTTTCCTTTTTGTCCCATATAGCCATCATAAAGACAGAAAGACAAAATGGAAGGAATTCAGTTGTTCATACATTTATGTGAGTGGTTACAAGTCTCTGTGAGTATAAATGAAGACATGCTAAATAATCAGACATTTAAAAAACATTTTTTAAGAGACTAAGGAGACTATAAACAGTGCTTTACCACAGAGGGGAAAAAAAAAAAAAAAAGAAAAAGAAAGAAATTATTAAAGTCCTAAATTTTTGAATTCCCAGATGATTCTGGACAATGAACTGTACTCATTTTTACTATAAGCACATGAAAAATAAAAATGCGAAGATCTTTGACAAGTCACTTATCTTGTCTCCAAACCTGAGCAAATGAACAAGATGCAAAAGCTGGAAGAACCCTCTGAACTAGCAACTGATTGTGTTAGAAAGAGTTATTTGAGCAAGAGGTCAGGTGCAGAATTAAGTCTGTCTCCACAGAGGAAAGTGGCAGTGAAGAAACAATAAAAGTGATTTCCCTGGTGGAAAGTGGTATAAGCAGGTAGCAAGTATCACTAGCATGTAAATTCATCAAATGCATGTCTTTTGCCGCTACTGCTGGTAGTGATGATGAGCTGCTGCATCCTGGCAAAAATTAGGATACTGACTCACTTTCAATTAAATAACAGGCATGAATATCCTTTTCTTAACCTGCCATCCTGGCTGGTAGAAGAAGATAAAGTTTATGGCTTGCTGTCAAATATTCACTGATTCTGCTCTAAAAGTTGAGCAGATAATGCTTAACAGCATCACTGATGCTATTACATTAATGACCTCATTGATTCATACCATTTAAAGCACCACAATATTTGAATTTCTTTTCAATATCAGTTGTAATAAAAATAATCAAAAGAAGTAGATATATAAATTTGAAAGATTACTGGGATCTTTTCTGTTAGATCTGAAGAATCTAGTTTCCTTTTGATTTTGAAGATAGCTACTTGGAGATATTATCTATAACATGCCTGTTTACATCAGCTGTACTAACACTTTGGGGTTTTTGAAGGCTTACATGTGCACATAGTATGAATGCATTTGTGTATGTAAACATATATATATATATATATATATATATATATATATATACATATACCTATATTTGCCATTTGTTGACTTTGCTTTGCATTTGTTGTATTGCTTCCAGATACATGACAGATCCTAGTATAGGTCTGTCTGATCATGTGAAAGTGAGAAAGAAGAGGTGGAGGGATTATGTTTTTCCTCTTGACAGGAAAATTACAATTCATGTACTTAAGAAATCAGAAGGCAGAATGCATTCACTGCACACTATCTAATCCAAACAAGGAGAAGCTGACTGAAAGGAAGGAGTGTAACTAAGCAGGCAACATGCAGACTGTGAAGGTGGCCATCACTTCTTCCCAACCGGCTACAGTACTCTACCTATTTCTACTGAGAACATTATATTTTTAAACAAGTTCAAATTTCAAGGCTGAATCACTGACGGGAAAGACAAATGTCTATAGTCAATCCAAGCGTGTATTCAGAATCTGTAAAAGGACTTGGATAGATGTAGGTATCTAAATATTTAAAAACAAGAGCGTTAAGTAGAGGTATTTACAACCATCAAGTTAAGAATATACCTTTGCAAATTTCCAAACGTGTAGAAGAGTTTCCTTCCTTTTTACTGAGATGCAGTCTATAACATATGCTGTTAAGATTTTATTTCAACATAGCTGTCTAGAAAAAATCAGGAAATAAAGAGTTTGATTCACAGTATATCATACCTTCAGGCGACATCTCTGGAACAGTGGCCACATAAGGTCCATCCAAGAACTGCGGTTCATTGTCATTGACATCTCGAACCTTGATGATAAATTCTGATTCAGGTTCAACAGGAAGGTGAGTGCTCCTGTTAATTGCTTGTGCTCTTAGAGTGTAGAAAGATTTCTTTTCTCGATCCAGCTTTTGTCTTACATAAATTTTGCCGCTATATTCATCAATAAAAAAAAAGCTTCCAGCTCCCTCCCCAGTCAAAATATATTTTAAGCTGCCATTCTCCTTGTCTAAATCTGATTTCAGCTGAAAGTAAAAGGGAGAAAAATAAGTCACAGTTTGGAAAGAATGAAGTTTTTAAATATTCATTTTATGCTTTGTTTTGATTCTGCAGTGAACTCTGCTGCTAATGAGCCTTCTTGGACACTATTCGTTGAAAGGAGGTACTGTCACATTTTCTGCCAACCATTTTAATTTTAAAATATTTAAAATTATTTTATTTAAAAGTATTGATATAACAGACTTATAAAGATATACCTGAAAAGAGATGCTTCAGCTACTTTGAAGTGAAGGGAATGCATCTATGTACCTACTTTAGTTAATTGTTTTTTCAGCTCCCCTACAATTCTGCTGAAAACAATGAAAAGGTCATTAAACATTGTCTAATTTTTTTATTATTGCAGATGACACATGTACTTTTTAAGTTTCTTATTTTTTTTACTCAACAATGATTAGTGAAAATGTGTGCAACAGTGATGTTCTGTTTCTGTTGAAATATTAGAGTGGAAAAGACATTCTGTGGTGAAAGTCTGTATTGTTTATTCCAAAATAAATTGATAAACATTTTCCATTTCCTTCCAGGATGATCTACATCTTCTGTTGTATTGCTAAAATGAACTTTATGGTGATGATTCCTGTGATTAAGCGGAGCCTTGGAGACAATTTTGGTCCAGCTGCATTTGTTCATGACAACCAAATAGTTCTGTTAATGTTAGTGATATATAATGTCACAGTATTTTAAGAGCAATAACCTAATTTCCTAACATAGCAGGCATCCACAGTTGAATTTTATGGGAACAAAAATTTCCATTATATCATTAATTCTCTATTTTTTCTCCACTTATTTTGGTTTTAGAACAAAAAATATCCAGCTCTCTAAGAGCCTGGATACTAATTGAAAAATCCAAATTTAAAAAAAAAATATTATTCAGCTTGCTTCTCTTATGAAACAACATGTTTAAAATGCAAATGATATGCCTAACTTTTGAATTTATTGTCTCACTGTTTTGCTTATATTTATTTACCTTTAAGGTCACTGTAAGTTGTGAGACCATAGAAGGGGAAAGTAACATTTCCCTGTCAGATCTACTCAAATATTTTGTAATAACTTCTGAGGTTGCAAAAATAGTTTTAACTTTTTTTTTGGAAGAATGCCTATGCCTTTTAAGATTTTCATAATGCATAATTGTCTGCATGCATCAGATGGATAATTTATTCATAATATGACTGGGACACTGCTCTGAGATATGAGGAATGGTTTTGAGTTCCTACTCTGAGTTCTGTAAAGGTATTTAACACCTAAAATATTCAGAGTTACTTATCCTTGCCAGTACAAAATACAGAATTGTCAAGTCTTAGGGAGTTTAAAATCATTTAAAATATGAACAACTTAAATATTTTGAACATAAGTAGTTGTGTGCTAAACATGGACCATGGTCAAACTAATTTTAACACCATCCAAATTTGGCATCTCACTAGGGGGCAACACAGATTCTTTGTTACCCATAAATCTTGGTTTCCTTTTCACATAACCCAGGACATGGGAGAAGTGATATATATCTAGATCTTTCAACTAATGTGTGGCTCAGATGTGACCACAGAGTATATCAAACCCTTAGGATCTGGGACCATGCCTTTGACTGGCTGCTAAGACAGACTGTGTTTAGTAATTTCACTCAGAATCATTTATCCACAAAAGATTTCATGACCTTGAACATGTTAAATGAGAGGCCCCTTACAGATGACATTTGCTGAGAAAGAACAGCAAAGATTCTAAGTTTACTTGTTTTTTTTTAGGCTGGGAACAAAATAAATGGTCTTACCATTGTAAATGAGAACTAGGAACAAGTATTTTTGTACTCGTCCTTGTGTATCTGCCATTGCAGTGCTGATGGACACTTTTATTTTTTCTTAAACTTGATAATGGAAAAGGAGTCATGAGTCTATGTTAAATGAAATTTGAAAATATATTTCTCACTGAAAAAAGATTTTGATATGTAATAGTGATTTAGAAACAGAGACTGTCTACCTTTGTATTTTCGTTGATGCAGTTTTCTTCAGGGCCTTAATTACTAAAATTTCATGTGTTGATCATAGACTACCACTTCCTTTGCTGAAAGCAGCGCATATTCTACTCAATAAAAAGACACAAGTAAATATGTCTTATTAGACAATGGTTTCACTGCAATATATTACAAATAATCTTCAATAAAATCCCCAGTTAACCTGTGAGAAATAAAAAGGTGAGATCATGAAAATACATGACATTTATGAAGTTCCTTTGCAGGAAATACTTTTCCAAAGTATTGGAAAAGTAATAATAATTGTTTAAAAAATAGTATGTCTTCAGTTTTTTTTTCAGAAGTGAGACATCACACTTCCATAGTAACTACTTTGAAAGGGCTGTGAAAAAGTAATTAATGAATTTTGAGCACTTCACCCTTTGGGCCCAATTAAATTTTAGTGCTAGTTAATTAGCAGTTAAACTTATTTTGGTTCATTCATCTAAAAAGGGCCTTAAAGAAAAGAAAGGAAGATCTCAAGATTAAAATTACTTCTAGCATACAAAAATAAATAATAATAATAATAAATATAATAATGATAATGGTAAGCAGAGAGAGAAGGGCAGATAAACCCTTATTAAGACAATCATCTTAAAACACATTTTTAAAGGAGGGTAAAAAATAATTGCTCGTTGTGCTAAACCTATGTTAATCTAATGAACCGTGCAGATTCCCATAGTTTCTCAGTGGTAAAAGGATTTAGTATTAATCAGCTTCATTAAAAATTAATGAGGGGTAAATCAGCTGCTACTTAGTGTAATAGAAAATCAAGCTAAACACTGTTTGTAAACTACACTACACTCAGTATGGCTGCTTTGATGCAGTGCCAAAAATAGCACAAGCAAATTGCCAGATGTTGATAAATGAGTCTTAACTTCCACTCAGAAGGAAGAAAGGAACTTTTCAGCTTTGTACCTTCATCTGCTGTGCACGGAGCTAGTAACAGCAATGCATGTTAAATTTCCTTGACAGCAGCCCTCAGTGAAGGAAGGTGCTTGGTACTGCCGTGGCCTGCAGCTCTCAGACTTCTCTGACCTTGAGAGAGGTCATAGGAAAGGAGAGATGTAGTACTGCCTTATTACATCTTCCTGATCTGCTCTTTCTAAGTTTCTTGCTATTTCCACATCACTGGAGATATTTGACCTTCCAAGTCAGGGTAGAAGCTGCTACTCAGCATGCTAAATCTAACCTTGTACTGTCCTTGAATCATTACTTATCATACCTGTCCAATATACACAGGTTCTGGTGAAATCTGTTCCTCAGTTGCAAAAAGAGGTTCCCACAGCCAGCCACGTTTCACTCTTCGAGCTGGTGTGAAAGACTTAACTGTGTTTTGAGCGCTGGAGTTCTGTGTGCTGGGAGAACAAGGCCAAAGTTGAACCAGCATCACCATGAGATGCAGCAATACAGAGGAATTCATGCTGAACCGTTCTTTCAATCAGTCTTAATCTGTGAAAGAGGAAAAAAGAAAAAGAAAAATCTTTGACAAAGCATCGCTTTTGTCTTTCTACTTCTATATATTGATTCTGTGCTAATGTAAGAGCTGATTTGCAGTGTTAAAAACCTCCTCTCTCCTCAAAAATAAAGAGCTGAAATGAAGTCTGTTTCTTATTAAAATTTTAATAAGAAATTTTAAAAAGACCTTTCAGAGTCTCTAACATGAAAGTCAAGTGCTTAACTTTTCTTTATGAATATCCTACACAGGGAATTTTTATGCAAAAAAAAAAAAAAAAGGAAAACAATCCTTCAATTAATTCATCTTTCAAATTAATCTGGATAATTGTATTGTGTAGCTTAGGAATAATTTGATTGGAATAATTGTACGTTTCTGCTTAGACAGGGCTCATTTTGAGATGCAGTCACAAAACTGCCTGAAGGGTGAATATCTAGCCTTAGTAGCCCTGACGTCTGACAGCTGAAACGAAGTGGTGCAGATATTTTTTTAACCACTTCCTGCCCACTTTCCCAGCTCAGCAAAATGGCTGCAAAAATGTTAAAGGTGACAGGGTACCATGAAGAAGCAGCAAAAATTTACAACTTTCTCCTTCCCAGCCAAACAACAACATGGACAAGGCAGATGTGTTTAATGGATTCTTTGCCTGTGTCTTTGGCATGGATAATGCACTAAGGGGTTCCCATAGCCCTGAGCTGGAGGACCATGACTGCAACAATTATCAGCTCCCAGTCGACTCTGAAATTGTGCAGGAACTGCTGCTCCAGCTGGATCCCTAAAAATCTATAGGACCTTATGAGATTCATTTGAGAATCCTCAAAGAGCTGCTGATGTCATTGCAAAACATCTCTCAATGGTTTTTGAGTGGTCTTGGGAATCCAGAGAATCCCAGCTGACTGGAAGCTGGTGAATGTTGTCCCATTTTTCAAGAATGGAGTGAATGAGAACCCCAGAGACTACAGGATTGTCAGTCTCACTTCACTGCCTCATCAAATTATGGAGAACGTTATTTTGGGAGGTACTGAAAAACACCTGGAGGACAACACAGTAATTGGTCGCAACCAGCATGGCTTTATGAGACGAAAGTACTGCTTATCAAATCTGATTTCCTTTTATGACATGGTGTCTCACCTAATTGATCAGTGATAGCCTGTTGTAATCTTTCTGGATTTCGGCAAAGTTTTCAATACTTTCTCTCACAGGATCCTTCTAGACAAAATTTTCAGCACACAACTGGATAAACACAGCTTGGGTTGGTGTTGGTTGAGCAACTTGCTCATGGGCTGGGCACAAAGCTACATCAAAGTGACATCAAACTGAGAACCTGTCACTAGTGGCATTACACAGGTCTCCATGCTCAGCCCTGTATTTTTCAACATCTTTATGACTTTCATGCAGAACTGGAAGGAATATTAAGCAAGCATGCAAATGATACAACACTGAGGAGCCTTTGAAGACAGGTAGACCTTGCAGACAAAACTCAAAGAAGTAGGGGACTAGACAATCACCAGTTGTATGAGCTTCAACAAAGGAAAGAGATGGATTCTGCCCCTGGGATGAGGCAACCCTGGATGTACGTACAGCCTCGGGAATGAGATGCTGGAAAGCAGTGCCACAGGAAAGGACACAGGGGTCCTGGTTGATGGCAAGTTGAACATGAGTCAGCAGCGCCCTGGCAGCCAGGAGGGCCAAGCCTGTCCTGGGGGGCATCAGGCACAGCATCACCAAGGGGGCAAGGAAGGAGATTGTCCCACTCTGCTCTGCACAGGGGGCAGCCTCCCCTTGAATATTGTGTACAGTTTTGGGTACCACAATTTAGGGAAGACATTAAGCTATTTGAAAGCATCTGAAAAAGAGCCATGAGGATGGTGAAGGGGCTTGAGAAGAAGCTGTATGAGGAGAAACTGAGGTCACTTGGTCTGTTCAGCCTGGAGAAGAGGAGGCTCAGAGGAGACCTCATTGCAGTTACAACTTCCTTGTGAGGGGAAGAGGAGGGGCAGACACTGATCTCTTCTCTGTAGTGACCAGTGGCAGGTTCTAAGGGAATGGCCCGAAATCATGTCAGAGGAGGATTAGGTTGGATATTAGGAAAAGGTTTTTCACCCAAAGAGTGTTTGGAGACTGCAGCAGGCTTCTCAAGGAAGTGGTTAGAGCACCAAGCCCATAGACAGGGTTCAAGAAGCATTTGAACAATGATCTTGGGTACATGGTGTTACTTTTGGGGATGGTCCTCTGCAGGGCTAAAAGTTGGACTTGATGATTCTTGTGGGTCCCTTCCAACTCCACATATTCTGTGATTCTTTAAATAGAATTTGTCTTAACAGATTTTATTGCCTCTAACATTATTTTCTCCAATTAAACTGACAAAGGCCAAACGTATCTTAAAAGTTGTAGGTTTTTGTAGCTAGTTTCATTTACACTACGTATGCTTTCAGAAAATGAAGGCTTTTCGCAAACTGTAAGCCATTACTGGCTTTACAGTGATTTTTGGCACAATTAAGGAAATTTTATATATAATTCTATGTTCAGTTAAGAATAGCCGTCTTCTGTGAGGCAAAAAGAAAAATTTTGAAAATACCTACCCATATAGCAATGGCATTAGCCATTATTTTCAAGGCTTTAGCATTGAAGAATAACATTTCCTATGAGGGAGAAGTCTAGTTTATGAGTTTGTGATGCACTAGTCAGTTTGGAAAACACACTGAAAAAAGTATATTGGGATGAATTTATTTTAGACCTGAAAAATCCATAAGTCTTTTAGCTGTCCAGGATAAAATATGAATCTATGTATTTTAAATTCACAATTTAAGTATTAATGATTTAAATACCCATCTTTATCCAAAGGGAAATGCCATAATTGCTTAAAAAACAGACAGATAATACAGAAAACTATTTATTTCCTTCCAGCAACTTTATATGATTTTGGACAACAGTTTGTTAAAATGTAATTTGCAGAGATGGAAAGAGAAAGAGGAGTTCTAATAGGAAAGTCAAATAGATGCACAGAGACTTAAGTGTACTTTCAAATTTCTTCACATTGTGTGTTTTTTGACTGTAAAGCCATAACAGAGCAATAAAAGATTTGAATAGAATGAATGTTACTTGGGTACCCTCCTTTTTCAGTTCCCTGTAGAAAACTTCTTATTTTCCCATGCCTGCAAGAATAATATTTTTGACATGGAAGAAAAGTCCAACAAACCTCAACTTGGCTCTGAAATAAGTCTTGAGTGAGGTTTAGAAGGCCTAAAGACATTGGAGAGTGCTAATAAGCAATAATCTGCACACAAAGTAACCTTGAAAAGGAGCATTCATTTCATTTCCGCACATTGTGAAGGACAGACTACTCAAACAACAAAAGCTGAACAGTCGAGGAGACCTTTCTGAGGAATCACAAAAAATGTGCTTCATTCACTGTTTATACGTGAAGAGAGGTGTTCAGTCTCAGAAATAGAAAATACTTCTGGCTAGCTTTTTTTTGTTGTTGTTTTGGATGCTTGTTCTGGCATTTTTCACGTTATTCAACAAAAGATCTCTGGCTTGTGGGGCAGTATTTCATGCAGAGCGAATGTCAGACAAACAGTCATTATAGAACTTGTCTGAAGATATCCTGTTTTGACAATAACATAGTGAGAGTGCAGAATATGGCTATGCTAATCTGCTGTTGGCCACCTTCTTGTAATGTGCTCAGCAGTTACATATCAACAGCATAAAGCATGCAATGAATGTTTTGGAGCATTTTGGTGTCTGCTTTTTAGTAATTTATGTTAATATCCTGTGTTACATGGAGTTAAGCATCATGTCTCAGATGAATAGGAACAAATAAATATTTTTAGATATACTGACATACTGCACCCACTGTTAGTGTATAAGAAGACTAACCTGAAAACACAGATGGTAGGCAAATTCCTTTAAAAATAAAACTATTTAATGGAATTGAGATCTATATGTATCTCTGTTTTTCTCTCCTCTGTTATAGCAAACATTTTAAATTTGCCTTTACTTTCAGGACCTCTCAAAGCCTATTTACTTCTAACATCTTCCTACTCATTTGGCATTGAGACACTGCCTCCAGCGTCTGGCCAACATGTGTTGTCATTTTTTATAGTCCAATTATAGCCCTTGTGAAACAATCACCCTCTTTCTTTTCCACTGATTGTATCTCAGTCTCAGAAGTCAGTCTAATAAAATATCCAGAAAGTAGTTTCTTATTCCCTCATTAATTTCTAGTATTTTCTTTAAAAATCCAAACTTCAGTATTACCTATTTGAAAGAAAAAAAATAAATATAAAAGGGCTCATACTGTTTAAGATGATTCTGTGCTGAGGCTGCTGCCTATCACTTTGTCTAGTAATTACACCATTATTCCCTTGTACTTTCCTGTCTTTCCCTATCCATCAGTTGTCTTTTGTTTTACACTCATTTGCTATGGTCTTTGTAAATGAAATGACCTTGTACTCTGTGTTATAATTATGGTATGCAGCAGAAGGGAGGATTAGTAAAAGCACAGAGCTTTTGGGCACTGTAGTAATATGCCCTAATAGATAATATTTTTTTAGTAGAATAGTTTCTTATTAAAAAAAAAAAAAAAACCCAAAAAAAATATTTTCAGAGATGAGCAAACAATCTATCACTAAAAATTTCCCAAGGGGAAGAAAGGAATGGAAACTATTGTTCTGCTCCTGTCCTTTTGTAAGTATGTCTCCAGTTTTTCTCACATGCAGTGAGCTGCAATAATAAAGTCTGATAGTAAGAACAGAGTCATGAGAATATCCATTGCAGTTGTAATAATGGGTTGCAGCTTTTAAAGATTATAGAACAGCATCTTCCTTTCATACTCAAGGAAAACCACAAGTTTCCTATAGACTAGAAACAGACTTACCTTCTTGGAACAAAGTTGATGAGTCCTTTCAAAAGTTTGTTTTGGAATCTTCACCAACTGACATCCTGTCTCTGTTTGAAACTGGATGTTATTTTAGGCGTGCTGGTAGTCTGACTT